TGGGCTTTAGGTGGGGTTCCAGAGTGGAGCCTGCTGGCCTGAGTGGGTCCCTGAGGCGAACGACTCTCTGGGGGGCTGGAGTTCAGGAAGGGGGGAGTCCCTGGCCACTGTCATTGTGTGGTTATCTAGTGGTCAACTTTGGACAGGTAGCCTTCGGGAAGGCTATTCAGGGAAGGGAGCTGGCAGCTACCATGAGCCAGGGAGGTTGTCACATGGCCTTCAGAGAAGGTTTTGACTGGGTGTTGGGACAGTTAGTGTGCGCTGTTAGTTATGGGTAGTGCCATCTCTACTCCCAGGTGTCTGATACAATGTTAGAAAATGCCTCTATCTCCTGCCTGGCCCCTCCCGTGTATTTCTTGAAATAAGATGTATAGAACCATAGAGCTCACTCAGTAACAATTCAAAAAACATGCGTTGGGCAACTGCTACTTACCAGCATTGTACTAGACTCTGGGTACAAAACAGTGGACAAAACAAGGTCCCTGTCTTTATAGAACTTGCAGTATGGTGGGGAGACAGACAGCAAGATGTAAATAAATACACAAGATACAGCTGACCCTTGAACAATGCAGGTTTGAACTGTGCAGGTCACCTTATACATGAAATTTTTTGGTGGTAAGGACTGCAGTGCTACCCTGTCTGCAGTCGGTTGGGTGCTTGGATGGAGAACTGTGGATACAGAGGAATTGCAGATACAAGGGGTTGACTATAAATTAAGTGTGGATTTTAGACTGTGTGGAGGGTTGGTGCCCTAACCCCTGCATTGTTCAAGGGTCAACTATGATGCCAAATACTGTCCAAAATGTAGAGCAGGTTGTCGGGATGGAGAGCTTGGCAGTGGGGGTGGGTGGTCTGGGAAGGCCTCTCTGGGGAAGGACTATTTGAACAAAGTGCCGGATGAAGTGTGGGAACTAGACGAGCAGTTATTTGGGTGAAGTGTGTCTTAGGAATGCCAGAGTGAGAGACAGGGAAGGGAGGAAGGGAGGGAGTGCAAGTAACTTCCAGAGCAGGTAGTCCCTTCCCAGAGCAGCCACAGCCCCACAGCAAAGCACAACTTTTTTTTTTCTTAATTGAAGTGTATTTGATTTACAGTGTTGTTAGTTTCTGGTGTACATCATAGTGGTTCAATTATACATATATATATATATTTTTTTTTCATATTCTTTTTATTATAAGTTATTAAAATCTACTGAATATGGTTCCCTGTGCTATTCAGTAAGACCTTGTTATTTAGCTCTTTTATATATAGTTGTTTGTATCTGCTAATCTCAAACTCCTAATTTATCCCTCTTCCCTTCTCTTTTCCCTTTGGTAACCATAACTTTTTGTTTTCTATGTCTATGATTCTGTCACTGTTTTGTAAATTAGTTCATTTGTGTCATATTTTTAGATTCTACAAATAAGTGATATCATATGATATTTTTGTCTTTCTCTGACTGAATTACATAGTATGATAATCTCTAGGCCCATCCATGTTGCTGCAAATGGCATTATTTCATTCTTTTTTGTGGCTGAGTAGTATTCCACTGTGTGTGTGTGTGTGTGTGTGTGTGTGTGTGCGTGCGTGCGTGCGTGCGTGCGTGTGCGCGCGCGCGGGCGTGTATGTATTACATCTTCTTTATCCAGTCACCTGTTGATGGACATTTAGGTTGCTTCCGTGTCTTGGCTACTGTAAATAGAAAACACAGCTGGTTCTGTGGGGCATCTCTAGGGAGTCTGGCTGGACCCACTGTGTCTCAGAATAGACCATATTTCCAAATGCTTGTACCTACAACATTTCATTTTCTTCTCATCACATCCTTGGGGAAAAAAAGGAAATGCATTTTAAAGGTTGAAGAGAACGAGGCATTTAGAGACCTGCAGAAGCTCTCAAGGGGCTTGAATTCAGTTCTTTATGAAGAGCTTCGGTAGAGGGAATGCTCTTTCGTGTTCCCTTTCATTGGTGAGAATCTACCCCAGGGGTTAAAGTCCCTTGAACTTCCATCTTGTATTTCCCAGTCCCTCTTTCTTGGCTGCCACTGGGAATGTCAGAGATTCCATGGGTGCAGACAGTTTGATGGGTATGCAGGTGTGGTGGTCCTTCTGTGTCAGTGGGTGCCGTGGATAGGGGCTCCTTACTCTGTGGCAGTGACAGGGATGGTGTGACAGCGAGGGTTCCAAGATCGCTTGATCAGCAAAGGAAGCTTCCAGACCTGGGAGTGGGGGAGCTGCTGGGGTGGCCCCTGGCCCATTTCCACAAGCAGATGTTGGGTGAGTTGAGTGAGATGAAGCATGGGAAGGACTTGGTTGGCACAAAGTAAGCCCTCAACAGATGTAAGCAGTTCTCATTGCCCCACGTGACCATATGTGCCCTCCCTGAACGTAAGACAGATGTCCCGTTCTGTCAGCTCTTTCACTTCTAAGGGAGGGAAGACGATTTGGATTCTAAAAGTCTTGCTTTTTCTTCCCCCTCAAAGGAAGTTGGGATGACTAAAGGCAGTTTTACCCACTCTGCTGATGATCCCAGTATCCGCTCTGTATCTGTCACTCACAATTCGCAACCCTCTTTACATGTTGAGCAGAAGTAGTGGGTGACTCTGGCAAGGCTCATGATTGTGACTCGATCTCTCAGAAAGGGTCAGGGCAGACACTGTGTGAGACTTCCAGAAGATATGGGTGTGAATTTACATGCCAGTGTATTGGAAATGCACTTAACGTGGTTACTGGTGCATTTTAGGTGCTCTACCTGCTTTGGTTCATTTTGAACTGTTTTTGTTTTGCTATATTTTTACAATTAAGGAAGAATTTGGGGCAGACATGTAACTCTCTTTGCATATGTGGCATGTGTGTGTATGAGTGATTTCAGCCTCTCTTAAAAGGTCATTAAATTCATTTATTGTCTTTCCACAGTTACTTACTAAATTATTACTTTGTGTACAGAGAGAAGGGTCACTGGCAATAGTATTTAACATTTCTTGAGCATGTAGTATTTTCTTGATACTATTTAAAACATTTTAAACGTTATTTAATATAAACCTCATAATAACCCTATGAAGGAGGTACTATTACCATCATCCCCATTTTATAGATGAGGAGATTGAGGCACAGAAGATCAAAGTCACATAGCTAATAAGGGGGCTAATTGGGATCTGAATCTGTGAGGTCTGATCTACAGGCACCTCTCTTAGTCTTTCTACTGCCACTCCTGATGGTTAGACTTAGAAATAGTTCTCATAAGGGTAGATTCAGAAGGATTGAATGATCACTTTTAATCTATCTGAGAACACCAGATTGGTCAGGCTGTGGCTCTTTGATTTCCTTGATAAAGGGTAGTGTTTATAAAAAGCCATAGAAGAGCTTTGGGACACGCTGAATGGATGTTGTCAGCAGGAAGGGAGGGTGCT